TTAAGATATCGCTTGAACATCGTGGCTCGAACGACGAAATGATTTGTTCGTTCAGAAAGCCTATGCATGTATCACACTAAGATTGAGGGACACAAACATTCACATATCTTCAATGGGAGCGGGAGTGAGATGTCTACGATGCACCACATCGGCGAAATAATTCCTTCATGAACATAAGAGCTCCTCATCCATACGAGAGACCTTACTTGAACACTCCCCACGTTTTTCAACAACAAAGTAGACATTTAAAGAGAGAGAGAGAGAGAGAGAGAGAGAGAGAGAGAGAGAGAGAGAGAGAGAGGAGAGAGAGAGAGAGAGAGAGAGAGAGAGAGAGAGAGAGAGAGAGAGAGAGAGAGAGAGAGAGAGAGAGAGAGAGGGAGTAAATACCCAGCGGCCATCGGTCACAAGAGGAAGTGGCGGGGAGCGAGAAATACAGCAGAGGAAGACATATGGCAGTTGGGAGAACAAAGATGCCAGGCGTCCGAAGCTGCGCCGATCGATTCGCCAGTGAAGTTTGGCGTCGGGAGAGAGAGGGGTCGTTTCGCCGCTCTGCGCCCTCCCCGTCCCCCTTGGCGGCGCTGTTTTGTGGCGTTGTTTGCGGCGTCGGGAGAACATGCCCACGAGTTACTGCGCCGCTCGGAGGAACACAGCTCGCAAATGTGTCAAATGCTCGCCGTAAAGAGGGCACCGGTGTGATAAACCCACGGACGGAGGCAGAGAAACCAACCCGATCCGTGCGTTTCGCGACTCCGAATGAAAACAGCAAAAAGAGGAGAGGTAAGAAATCCGCCTCTTCTCTTCATATCTCCGCGCTTTCCTGTATGACCCTAAGAGTCCCTCTCTTTCTTCTCCCATCCCACTTTCCTCTTTCTCTCTCGCCAGCCTCCCCCTCTCTCCGCATGCGTCTACGTCTGTCTAGTTTTATTTCTTCGGCCCTGGGACTGATGGATGCTCACAAAGGAACGTGGCGAAGTGTTGGAGCACGTCGCTTCTGGTACCCTGAACCTGCCGGATCCGCCGGGGCAAAGGGTCGGTTACGGGGCAGCTTAATAGGTACATTGATTTAATTAATTACCAGCATTTAAACGGCTTTTATCTGACCTGAAACGGCCTGTTCCAGTTCACATTCGCGGAACGGCGTCGATTGAGGCCGAACATGCTTCACTGTCACGGTTTATTATTGGACCTTTAGTGGCCGAGTTGAAATGGAAGATCGAGGAAATGTTAAGGCCGTGTTAGGTCACAAGGGCACCTGTCAGCAGCTTATGTGTAACGATTCAAATGATGTTTGGAACTTGGACATAAGTTTCTTGCTTCTTTCTTGGAAACGGCCCATCGATACAAATCATGTGCTCAGTTTTATGGCTTCGTAAACAAATTTATATGGGTGTTCCAACACTGCACAAATTGTAATCAAACGTGCCAGTGCCATTCCCTGTACGGCTACGACTGAGTTGCTCTCTTTCCAGTGCCTGAACACACTACCGTTATTTTTTGCCTTTGAAGCGCATTAAGTTTGCATTGTGCCATGCCAGAAGAGAAACATCCACGACCCAGTGTTCCTGAGCCTCACACTGAAGACTGCGTATAGCATGTAGGATAACACGCACTACATACCGCGTACCGCATACGGGTGCGTGTAAGCTCCCCGGGTATCCTTCATGCATAATATTAAGTGTTATCATAAACTTCACCGTATTGATGCAAATGTGCGGAAGAGAAATCTGATACTATATTTACTGCTCTCGAATCCTAGCTAAGCTCTTCTATGACTGGACAAAGTGACATACAGAGGCAACATGACAGCGCTACACTACTTACTTCGCCATTACATCAGGTGTAGTGCCACTTAAGGTGGAACAGCAAGCATTTTCCAGGTAAAACAGATGGATTTTACCTGGCCAATGCCACAGACACCGCCCAAAAACCCACAGGCTTAGATCGTGAGCATGCTACCATTATGACACTGCCTGGAAGCAGTCAGGCTGCAAATTAATGATTTATTGGCATGTAGCCTCTGTTTATAAATACTTAGGACATTTGACAATAAAGCAGGTTCCACTTGGAGTTTGGCAAAGAAAGAACAGCAGCATTCCCGACTGCCACCAGACGGCCGACTCAGCGAGCCGAGGCACTGGACTATGGAGCCGTGCCCGGCGGGTCGGCCCGGCTCGTCGCCCACCTGTCGGAGTCCGCAGCCGGCCGCCTCCCAGGATCGGCCGCCCCCACACGGTGCGCCGGCACTGCCCGCAGTCCCCGCTCGCCGCCGCTCTGCCCCGGAGCACCGTGTGACCGGCCGGCCGGGCAGCGCGCCGGCACGCCGATCATTGGTCGTCGGCCGGACGCCGCCCCATTGTACGCTCGTTTTAATCGATGCCGTGGCCGCTCGCCGCCCATCGCATGCCTTATGAATGCGCCGTCGCGCCGCCGCGGCCGCCGTGGAGAGGCGAGACGAGAGCGGCACGGGGCGGCGACCGCCGTCCCCGGCCGGCCGCCGCTGCGGAGGAGACGTGGGAGGGTGGGAAGGGCGGGACGGGGCGAAGGCGAACGGGCCCTCGCTGACCCGGTCGCGCCGGTGACAAAACTGGAGCGTGGCGGGACAGTGGGTGCATCAACAGCGATGGACCAGTCGCTTCAAAAGCGACGCCCATGTTTCTTGGCTTTGGACTACCTGCTCCAATATTATTACACACCACCCTAAACGCAAGGCGTACATGAGTAAATGCCGGGTTTAACTTCAAGCGTGGCCTGGTAGACAGGGATTTCCGACGTCACGATATGTTCCGGGTCAGACCACAACAATGTGGCGGGTGGGTGGTCGCTTTCCACTGCCGTGGCGCGCTGCGTTACAAGCACCCAGCCAGGGGTTCTCCCAACATCAGGCTTGAGCCTGCCGTTGTTTATAAGTTGTAAGTGAAGTGTGCCCGGCTTGGCTAAGGCCCTCAAGCCAACGGTCAGTCCGCCCAAGCTTGACACTTATCTAATTTAGCAGATTGAAACTCAGCCCAAGTCGCAGCCAATGTGGTGCACTGCGCCCAAAATCACACAGGCAAAGCCTGGCCACAAGCTTTCGGTCCGCCTAATTGCACGCAAAACAAGACAGCAACCCAGCAAACTTTGTCTCTGTCCCTGTTTTTGTGGTTAGAGCTTAATACGACATAAAGGATAGAGCTTTACAAAATGTTTTACCAATACTGCTACCTCACGAACTGCTTAATAGCCGTGTCCAAAATATTTTTGTCCCTATGGAGTGATCCAAAAGCCTTTCACATACGGCCCAAAAATACTATGAAAAAGAAGACAAACCATTAGGTTTGACATGCACAGATGTATCAGAATGATGCCTTATGAAATAGCCCCAGAACTACAAGGAACTTTTAGTGAACTTCTGGTGAATGATTTCGGTAGTCCAGCCCGACCCGATGGACCATTTCCCATCAGCTTACTAAAAGCAGATCAAAGTAACAGAACGTTTGTCTAGCCCGTCCTCTCCAGCCAATCAGGCGTCACGTAACAACGAAAATCAAACAACTGTCCTAGAACTATCTTGTGCATGCATGAATACCGAAAATTAACCACCCGGAATACAACGCTATCCGTAAATCTCGCTTACATAAATGTACAAGCGTAATATAACGATGTAAAAACGTAACGATGTAAGAAACTGTTAATAACGATGTAAAAACATAACGATGTAAAAACTGTTAATAACGGTGTAAAACATAACGATGTTAAAAAACTGTTAATAATATTTCACCATGAATTTCCCCATCCAATTCTGTCCAATAAGCTTAACTGTGTAACAATTTGCAAGCAGACAGCGTATGCTGTCTTCCTAGCATGACTAAACATACCAAATCATCCAGCACACGGCTTCAAGCCTGTGGTTTAAGCAGAGTTGCGCATAAAAACGCCTGCATGTCATTGGGCCTTAAAGACACGTTTAGCTGCTGAAGCTACATGGCATCAAATATCGCGCTGGCAGGAAGGGCAAATACCTCCCTGGGTGTGAAAGCCTATTAAAAAAACTGTCAACTAGTGAAAAGAGGTGACCACGCTTAATACACAAAACATAAGTAGATATGATCTCAAAATGTATGCATTTTTCATATGCTAGAATGAGGTGTTTCCCCACGCCGGCCGGTCATAAGTTATTGCACAGCAAACTGAGCCGTCAGCCGTGCGATTGTAGCTTATTGATCCTGGTGAGGTAATACATAAAAGTATGTGTTGCAAAGAGATTGAGTCGCTTCAATTTTTTTGCAAGCCTGCAAGGTCAAACCGCGGCTGGCCCGGTGCGCATGGCCCGGCAGAATGCTGGCGGTCGGCGGTCGGCGGCCCGCGGTCCGCGGTCCACGGTCCGCGATCCGTGGTCCGCAATCACGCGGGGCACCACTGGTGTCGGCCGACTGCGGCAACAGACTGACCTGGCTGGTGTGGCACCAGCCAGCTGAACCTTGGGCGGAACACCGCGACAGATAGATGCCAGCGCAGACCGAGTATGGCAGAACAGCGTGCACGCAAATCCCTCCGCACTCCCTGCTGGTAAAGGATCGGAGGCAAATATGCTCCGTCAACTGAACTGGCACACGCTGTGTGTTGGTATGGACACCCGCAACGCGCCCTGCTCGGAAAGGGTCCGGAGCCCAAAGCCATCCGTGCAGACCATCCAAAAGAAATTGGTCAAGTCTATGATTTATAAGTAGGCTTGACTACAGCTACACTATAGTGCAGTTGGACGGTAAATTATCCAAGGTAAGTCCAGCTTGTTTCCTCGTCGGTAGTTGCTGTTTCAGCCCGATGGTAAGTGGATAATCAAGGTGCATTTTTTTAAAGCAGGGATAGCTTCACTCGGATTAAACCATTTTGTAGCCACAGCTCCACTCAGCCTTATAGAAACTTCTCTATTTCCCAGGATGGATTAAGTCAGGTTAGGTCAGGTTAAGTCAAGCATTCACAATATTGACGGATCCCGCAGCCACAGCTCCGCTGACACTTACCTCCCCTGCTTTCACTGTCTGCTGGCTTCACTTGGATAGGACGGTTCATCTGAAAAGCATGAGCAGGCGTTAGTGCGCGGCCTTTCGTCACGCTCTTTACCCCATCCGTCTGACGCCGCTGCCTTCCCGCGATAGCCAGGTCGGGAGGTCAGGGCGCCAGCGCGGCGGCTTGGCTTCCACAATTGGCTGCTTGACCGCCGGGACAGTGTCCAAGCGGGCCAACAGGGAACGCAAGCCCCGTGTGCCCTACCGCGGAAGGTGCGCGCGGCTCGAGGGTGACCAGCTGCTGCCATGTGGCTGACCCGGCCCGGACGGGGGGAGTTCGGCCCCAGAGGCCGCCCCGCCATAGCTAGTGAGGCACAACACATAGGCCACCGGGATAGGCCTATCCCGGTGGCCTATCGTGGGGAGAAGTGTACGCGTGGCCAGTGAGCGAACTCGTGGCTCAGCATGGACGGGGCGTTATGCGTGGACGAATAGGCAGAATTCCGCCCACAAGACTGAGAGAGCACGGGCTGCGTGCACAAAGTCACTGATGACATCTGGAGGGATGGTGAATACGCAGTCATCTGGCTGACGCCGCTACACACACAACGCTGTCGGTCCGCAGGACGGTGTAACAGATCATGCATTAACTAACACATTCAGTGGCACCCCAGTCACATGCAGGAAGTATCGGCCTTTCTTATTGCCGCGACTGCATGCATGGAGCTTCTTTGACGCGTTGACTGTAATGATATCGAGCTTTAATCCAGAGTTCCGAGGGGCCATTCATGTGCTCCACCCGGCTTCCGGCCACCAATTAAAATAATTTCCGGCAATACGGTCATGCATTATTGGGGTTATTGGACACATTAATGTACATTAGATAGTGGACGGCTTGTGCCGCCAAGTTTCCCATCGATTGCCATTGGGCTCGTGCTCCAGTGGCCGCCCCAGCGGGACACCAACTACCAATATGCAATCAGACGACCGATTCCAAAATTATGCTCCGGGAATGAAAGCCATCAGAGCCGCCGCGACGACATTCGAGGGACATAGCGTGGAGTCGGTGGACGGAGCTTATCGAAATGAGCCGTTATCAAGGTCCTACACTGCGGCGTGCACCATTGGCACATAGTTAATTAGCACTTAAGAATGCCACTTGTGGCGATGTTATCGGTATTTATGGTGGCAGTTCTTATCAAGAAAGCATACCTCATTCAGGTTCTGATCGGAAAAATGAAGGGAAACTTCGACTTTTAATATTGCTTTGCTTTGTAATTAAGACTGACACGGAGGAAAGCCAGTTTTAAATGTCGAAACGCAGGACGTTGAAAATAATATTTACTGATGCAGACTGAAACCAGCATAACAGAGAAGTAACATTATTTGCTAAGAGCATCGTGCTATAATATATATATATACATATATATACATATATATATATATATATATATATATATATATATATATATATATATATATATATTATGGTGGCACAACACACCGTTATGCGTTATGGTGAATGATGTCATGTGTCATATGCCATAGATGTCGTAAACATATATGTATATATATATATATATATATATATATATATATATATATATATATATATATAAGCTATAACATCGACGATTTAGCGGTGTTCATTACCTCTCTAAGGCAGGAACGCATGCATCCAATAGCGTACCTTACGGTAACCTATTCATAATTTGCATTTGCGTGCCGACTTTCCTGATAAACACAGTCCATTTGATGGTTATTCCAACACGGGCAGTGTTTTGATCCGTTAAATACCATCACGAGCACGAATGATAAACTCACCAAATCCACCAGCATACGTCGCCAGCACGCTTCTGCAAGCCGTGAGTTGTTTCGGAGGCCTTTAATCACCGAACTGTGTTTGCTTTAGTCGTTCATATTCCCCGATCCAGTAAATCACCACATCCTCTCATTTGGAAAGGAGCCCTGTCCGTACCGCTGAATGGATAGCATTGTTCCAGGCCAGGTTGCCAGCCTTGCGCGACCATTGTGTCCACCGGCGCGGCGTGTAACGCCAGCACTGGCCACCACCAGGGCATCATTGACCATTGTCTTAATGAATGCACGTGTCCCCGCCGCAGCGACAGGCCAGTCTTGTCCATAGCTCACGCTAGGCGAGTCGATCGCCGGAAGAGGTGTTGTTCCAGACGTGGATCACGGCCTGGACGTCAGACCTTCGGATTCAAAAGGGAGCGAAGTCCGAGTAGATGGTCCACTGCGAGCACGTACGCCTCGCAATCTGCCAGGACAGCCGTCGCCGGAAAAAAACCGAGCCTACTAAAATCAATGAAGCTTCCTTAAACATATATTTGACTTCTGTTATTTGGCCGACCAAACAAGCTTGATCGTTTGAATATGATCGTTGTCCTTGTATCCTGCTTGGTACGTTATTTTTCCACCTGTGCTCTTTATAAGCAGCAATATTATCAAAATGATTGGGAGTGGCAAGGCCATAGATAGACGGTGAAACACAAATACTATCGGCATTATCACCCGACATAAATCCTGTTCACCGAGCTCAAATTGCTGTCAAATGGACTCCGTTGACAGCGATGACATGAGTGGGGAGGCCTGCCATGCACAACCTTTTATGTGATTGAAAATTGCCTCGATGCGCAATATGAAAGTAGCAGGAGATTGACATACACTATGTAACAAACAACATACTTAACAGAGGAAAAGATAGCGACAACCTTGCAATTATGTTTACGGATCAAAAACAGCCACGATGTCTTGCTGAAAGGTTACAAAAATAGAGATTATGATTCGTGCCCCTGGCTATGTTGCGCAGCCCAACAGTTTCACTGCGCTAGTAGACTGTACCGCTTGGCAGAACAGCACGCTGTAGTCTACCAGTACAGGCGGCAAATCAGGAGGGTTTCGCCGGCTGCATTATGAATTCATCGCGTGAAACGATCGAAGGCAAGGCGAGGGCGTAGAGGCGTACAAACCTCACAGTGCTAACGAATAAGTCATTTGGCCTTAATGGGCACTGAGGAAGCCAAGGGGAGCATTCGTGTCGGTTTTCCTCATCTTTCTTCCAAAGCCCTTCGGTATTCATTATTAAAGCCCTATGGTATTCATTTGTTTAACAGGTATAAAAGCAGTAGGATGATATCGTTATGACAATATGCACGGCTCATATATATATATATATATATATATATATATATATATATATATATATAATATATGTGCACTGTTCTGCGGACTGTTGTGATTCCGCGCCCGACGGCTACACCACCCAACACGCCGACATGGTATCAAGCTAGGTGAACGACCAATGAGGACGCCCCTCTGCAGCAGAGCCTCTTCCTGGACACCGAACTATGATACACGAACGACCGTTAACCAAAATGTGTGAACAGACGCTTAGATTAATCTAGTTTAGCTCTGATGACATCCTGGACCTGAGCTGTTTATAATATATAGGCAACAGCACGAATATACCTACGTCAGGCAAGCAGCTCGTGTTAAAAACAAAGGGTGAATGGGATGCATTTGATGCTTTGAAATCAATGTCCGGAATGCCTTCTATTTTTCATTCGGCGGAAACGAGCAAATGTCCTTGCTTACATTCGATGCACGCAAAGGCCAAAGTTTTCTGTTCGGAGAGGCATCAAAGCGCCTGCACTCCATGCCCCGCACCCACGAATATCCAACAAACAGGCCCCAATGCATGTCCTAGCTCATCCACTGACGAGGAACGTCAACCAGCGGCGGCGCGCACGGGCGCCCAGCCCAATCAATCGGCGACTGGCTTCGATTTCGGATAAATTATTTCAAATCACCCGTCGGTAATAAGGACAGTGCCAGTTCGATTCGATGCCACTGCCTATGGCCGGCCATGCTGCGTCGGTGGGCAGCTGCGGGCATCTCAGTTCGGCATGACCAAACGCAGCGCTGCCGGCAGGAATGTGCTGCGTAGCAAAGGCAAGTTGAACAACATTCACAGTCAAATGGGATATTCAGGCTTTTGCTCGCATGTGGTAAAAACCATGGATAATGAGCGGCACGCAATGAAAAGTTTCGAAAGCGACGTTTAACGCATGAAATGGACATGTGAGGTCAGGCAACGAGACCTCCGGACCATAGAACGTGGCCGTGAGTACACTACCATCGGCCAAAATGTTTGAATGGTGAGTCATAAGGCGTTTAGCAAACCAGTCACGAATGTGTTACATACATACATTACTTGGAAGCTCTTTGTCACCGCCACAATATATTTGCACCCATTTGGCCTACATTATGTGTCTCGCACTCAATTTTATTGCACTATTAACTGCTACCCACGCTATCAAACTAATACTAGCGTGATCCCTGACTGGACTGGTTGAGCTCCGCCTCCTTACAGACCAATCATAGTTTACCGATCACGCCTGCATTGCTCCTGCTTCAGCCTCTTGAACGGCAGACATGTCTCTGCGATGCAGCCGATGGGTGGAGGCATGGCTCAAAACTCGTCCCCGTCCGAGCCGAGGAAGTTCACCACTCGCTGAGTGCTGGCCACTCAGCAGCGGGACCGGCCGGCCTTCGGCCGGCGGGTGCACGGCAACAGCCGGCGCCCCTCTCAGTCTCACATCACAGTCGGGCAGCCGCTGCCATCAGCGGCGGCTAATGTGGCGCCGGCACGCCGCGCGGTGATTGGCGTGTCGCCGCCGGCCGGTCCGGGGCACGAGACCCAACAGGTGGCCGTCGATCAATCTGTCGCCGGCGTCGGGTGCCGGCGGCGAGCCCCGAGCCCCCAGCCGCGAGCCACGAGCCGCGAGCTACCAAACTGCTGAGCCCCCTGAGCAGGGGTCGCCCAGCCCCCAAGCAGGGAGCTGCCCTGTCACCGAGAGCGAGCGGCGAGCGGCCGCGCGCCCAGCGCCGACCCCAGCGCGGGCCCGGAGTCAGCGAGGTGCCGAGCTTCGAGCGGCGGGCCGGCGCTCGATACGGCCGATGGTTGGCGGCGACGAGGGCGGAACGGAGGAGCCGGCGGCCTGTCTTCAGACATCGGTCCACGCTGGCGCACAGCATTAA